CCCGGACCCTGCATTCACTATATCCGCTCTCCCCGGACCCTGCATTCACTATATCCGGTCTCCCTGAACCCTGCATTCACTATATCCGGTCTCCCTGAACCCTGCATTCACTATATCTGGTCTCCCCGGGCCCTGCATTCACTATATCCAGGTCTCCCCGGACCCTGCATTCACTATATCTGGTCTCCCCGGACCCTGCAATTCATTATATCCGATCTCCCGGACCCTGCATTCACTATATCTGGTCTCCCAGGACCCTGCATTCACTTATATCTGGTCTCCCTGGACCCTGCATTCACTATACTCCGGTCTCCCCCCGGACCCCGCATTCATTATTATGGTCTCCCCAGACCCTGCATTCACTATATCTGGTCTCCCCGGACCCTGCATGCACTATATCTGGTCTCCCCAGGACCCCTGCATTCACTATATCTGGTCTCCCAGGACCCTGCATTCACTATATCTGGTCCTCTCCTATAACACAGTACTACAGAACATGGAAATGCAATTATTGTAGTAAATATATACTGCAAAAATCTTTTTTCATCAGTAGTATATAGCAGTCTTAGGACTTCTATCAGTGTCCAGCAGAGCACCGGTTTAAAGCATGTAGGAGGAGTTTTCATTCTCCTCTGACTGTTCTCTGAGGGTGATAGGACCCTTGACCTCTGTCCAGACAGCACTGATTGGCCCTGTGCTGATCACATGCACTCTCCCAAGAAAAAGAAAAAAAACTCTCTAGCAATACACACCAAACTGAGCATGTGCAGCTTTCCCCCAAAGCTCTGTACTATGAACAAATGGGGACTGTGGAAGAAGGGGAGGATCAGAGATGACAGGCGGAGGATTAACCCCTTAGGTTTCCACAGTGAGTATAACAAGCATGCTTTACTGCATATACAGACTGATTGTACTGTTGGGTTTAGTAACACTTTAAATACACCAACAAATTGAAGCCAAAACTCCAGCTCACACTTCATAAGCAGTTACAGCATATTTTTTTCTTTTGGGATAAAGGTTTTACATGAATATATAAAAGCGGACTATTGTAAGCACCCCTGTAAGTGGTAAATGGTTTGTCTCATCTCTGTAAAATTACATCTGGATGAAAAACAACAGACTCACTGGCTGGGATCACCAGATGAAAATAGAAGAAAGTCTTAAAAAAAGAAAATGGATACAGCCATCATATCTAAGAATTGGCAAGTTACAATATAAAATGTTTACTTTAGGGTTTTAATACCACTTTAATTGACAAATGGGGCCCCCATCCACCCCCAGGCCCCATAGCAGGCGCGTGGGCTGTTATGGATATTGTTAAGCCACTGGATTCTTGTGCTGTTCAACCAAAACTTAGATCGTACACAACGTTGTCTGACAAAGCAAATAAAAGTTTTCCTTGCACATGGGAAACTTACTCTGAACGATGGAAACTGACTGCTGGAAAATGTAGGTTAAAAAATGTCTGTTTAGCCGCGTTTGCATAGCGTGTTTATGCGCGTTTACGTTTAGAAGCTTTTTTTTTAAGATAAGCACAGGAGAACCTCCCAAATGCCCAGAATGCACTGAAAAGAGGTACATTATTAACTATTTCAGAGAAATATAGAGAGTAGAAGCAGAGACAACAGTAGGTGTTGAGATTAGCTTAGGTGTGAGTTGATCATTAACATTTCTTTTGTTTACAAGGGTGGGAAAGGTGTCTGGTGGAGGGGAGTCATTAAGGCCACCTGGCAGGGGTCTTCATGAGGAATTTGAGGTGTGAATGGTCATTAACATATCTTTTGTTTCCAAGGGTGGGAGAGGTCTGAGGTGTTAATTGGTCATTACAATGTGTGACAAGCTTGGTAGGAGAACATCCTGTGTTCAGTGTTTTGTCCATCTGAGTACCTTGTGAAAAACGCTTTGCATGCATTTTTCATGATTAAAAAAGGTTCTGGACAGCATTGGGAACTGGGAAGAGTTACGGCTCATGTACACTGCAGCTGATGAACTCATGTTTGGAGCTGTTCTGCGGTTTTTTTTCAGCCAGCCCCTGAACTCTCCCTAATGTTTTCCTATGTGTCCATGTACACATCTTTCTTTACAGTCGTTTACAGGCATTTGAGTTTACAGTCGGTTTTTTGAACGCAGAAAACTTGCTTTTAGAAGTCGATTTTATCAGCATTTCAAAAGCAAAACACGGCTAAACATGGCAAATCGCGTTTATAAGCGTTTGCGTCTGAAAAAACTTTTTTTTTAACTCTTCCAGTTCCCAATGCTGTCCAGAGTCTTTTTTTTCATCATGAAAAATGCATGCAAAGCGTTTTCAATGTACTCAGATGGACAAAACACTGAACACAGGATGTTCCTACCAAGCTTGTCACACATTGTAATGACCAAATTCACACCTCAGATCCCTCCCACCCTTGGAAACAAAAGATATGTTAATGACCATTTCACACCTCAAATTCCTCATGAAGACCCCCTGCCAGGAGGCCTTAATGACTCCCTCCACCAGACACCTTTCCCAACCTTGGAAACAAAAGAAATGTTAATGAGCAAACTACACACACCTAAACTAATCTCAACACATACTGCTCTCTCTGCTTCTACTCTCTGTATTTCTCTGAAACAGTCTGAAATATTTAATAAATGACCACTTTTTCAGTGCATTCTGGGCATGTGGTAGGTTCTCCTGTGCTTATCTTTAAAAAAACACTTCTTGTGTGGGGTGTCCCTCTCAGTGCCTGAAGCTCTATACTGAAAAGTTACAAGCTCTTGAAGAGAATCTGTCATAGAAAAAAAGGTCTGCGGGTCTGGCCCTTTTTTGAATGCTCAGCGCCTCCTAACCCTCTCTCTTGGTTCCCTATCATGCAGAAACCTGGACCTCTCTTACGAAAGAATGCATGATTCATACGTTGTGGGATTTAGCACTGTCAAACTCTATGGGACTTCTATCCCACCTTTGGAAACAAAAGATATCTTAATGAGCAACTCACACCTAAGCTAATCTCAACACATACTGCTGTCTCTCTGCTTCTACTCTCTGTATTTCCCTGAAAAAGTCTGAAATAGTTAATAATTTACCACTTTTTAGTGCATTCTGGGCATGTGGGAGGTTCTCCTGTTGCTTATCTTTAAAAAACGCTTCTAAACGCAAAACGCACATAAACGGGTTATGCAAATGCGGCTAAACAGACGTTTTTTCAACCTGAACGTTTTCCAGCAGTCAGTTTCCATCGTTCAGAAGTGTCCTGTGTAGATGGGGCCTTAAAGAAAATTCAAACGCAAATGCTATAATCTCAATTTGCCGTTGTTTACAAGTGTTTTGTGTTTGAAAAGCTGATAAAATCAGCTGCTGAACGCAAGTTTTCTGCATTAAAAAAAATGACTGTAAACTCAAATGCCTGTAAAATTACTGTAAACGGACGATGTGTACATGGACACATAGGAAAACATTAGGGAGAGTTCAGTCCGGGGGGCTGCTGAAAAAAGCTGAACAGCTCCTAAACGTGAGTTTATCAGCTGCAGTGTACATGAGCGCTTAGATTTCTTACAACTTTTCATATAAGAAGCCACGAAGGGACAATCTCCAGAGTTTAATAGTGGCTTCATGATAGGTTCTTCCTCATTGGTATATTCCATCTGCCAGGCACCATGAGTATTGCACTGCCTATAGCACACTCTGAGCACGGTGCAGTAATTACTGAGTTGGGAAGCTTTGGAACAGAACATATTTCCGGCAAATGGGACTCGGTAGTGTGCTGGGCACGGGGGGGGGGGGGGCAGGGGTGGGGTGGGTGGGGGGGGGGGGGGGGGGGGTGGGGGGGGGGGGGGGGGGGGGGGGGGTGGGGGGGGGGGGGGCAGCCGCAGATATCGCCTGGCGTGGGTGTACATATGGAGCTCGGCACCGACAAAAATCTCCTCCGGGGATCGCAACTACCCTGCAAGACTTCACACCTGGTCTCTGAAAATGCCAACCGCCACCCTGGGATTAGAGAATGTGAAAGTGGCGCTACGATTCTATTCACAGACCAAAACACTGGACCAGGTAGAATCCGCTCATTCAAAAGGGGCACACACACACACACCGCCTACATAAAGTTGCTTTCTGGAAAAGTTATATTACCACAAAAAAGGTTTGGAAGAGCAGACAGGGATGAAGATATTTTAAAGCGGTACTAAACCCTAAACAAAAAATCATATATAATGTTAGTTTAGCAATCCTTAGATGTGACTGCAGTCGTTTTCCTTTTTAAAGCTTTTTTCTCTTTGCTTTCACCTGGTAATCTTGCTAGCAACACACCTCCTCCTTTTTTTTTAGGGTGTCTCCACTCTGGAAGGAAGAGCAATGGAGACACCTTTGGACAGCAGTATTGTCAGTGTGGGGGGAGGGGAGAGTAAGATGTACTAGCAGATTTAGATACACTAACAAATTGAAGTCCATCTCCAGCTCACACTTTTTAAAGTATAAACTCACCTTTCATAACATGTTACATCCATATTCAGAGTGGAACATATTATGAATAGACCAAGCCCTGCTCCCCCTCGCACTTCAGCTTTGACAGCTTGGGGGATTCAAAATTTTTTTTAAAAACGTGGCTGTGTGGGCCACCTGGCCACATCACTTATTCACAGTCTTCTGTGAATGAGGAACTACAAGTCCCATCAGTCTTACCCTAGATTCACACCTAAGCGTTTTCTGCAGCATTTTACAATCCATTTAACATGATTTTCCTATGAAACATGTTCACACCTGTGTGTTTTCACCCGTGCGTTTTTTTGGAAAGGGTCAGGGACTTTTTTGAATGCAAAAAGTTGCGTTTTTGGCTCTATAAACTTCAATGGAAATTCTGCAGAAAATAATGTACTGAGTTTTTGCTTCGTTTTTGATGCATTTTTGCCACGTTTTTGTGTTTAAAAATCTGCCTAGCAACAATAAAAAAAATGAACCCCCCCCCTGCAAAATGCATCAAAACACAAAACGCATTGGAGAATCGGCTCAAATGCAACCTGCATAGGTGTGGAGCGTCATGGTAGTTCATTGATTCTTCCTGTCAGTATATCTGCTTGCCAGTAGATCCTGTATGGGCAAGCGGATATACTGACCGATCTGCAGGAGACCTGCATGGCACCAGCGATCAGCTGAGCTCTGGTGCAATGCTTTACAGGCTCCTGCAACAAAAAATAATAAATACACAATTTTTTACCTGCCA